GTAATAGAAAGGCTGTCACCAGGAAGTGAAGGGAAGTAATTTTTCTCTCTGTTCAGTATTTGTGAGAGCAGCCCAGAGAACTGTGTCCAGACTGGGCTCTCCAGTATACAACAGAGGTTGCCATACTGGAAGGAGGTCAGCAGTGGTCTGCCATAATGGGATGGGAACCACAGGATACAGAGTTAAAGAAAATTGGATTTAAATTTGATACTATAACAGACAGCTAGAGGGAGATCTTACTGCAAACTACAACTAAGGGGAAGGAGCAGAAAAGATGGAGCCAGGCCCGAAGACGTGTGACAACAGGAAAAGACAACAGACATAAGCTGGAATCTTAGGAATTCTGATGAGACACAGGGAGAAACTTTTACCATGAAAGGTAGTCAAAAATTAGAACAGGATGCCCAGAGAGACTGTAAGCTCCACTGTTAGAGGTTATTCCAAAGCAGGCCAGACATGTCCCTTCCAGTTGCTCTGCAATCTTGTAATGCTGCTCAGGACTTACACTGCTCTGATTCCAGTCCCAGGTAAACCAGTGACAAGGAGCACTGTCCCTCTGCATCCCTGAGAGTCAAGATGAGCAAAGAAAAAAAAACCCCTCCAAATACTACTAAACTGACTGATAGAAACCACAGAGCTGTTCTCAGCTTAAGTGACTGTGTTCCCACCAGGTGACAGAGCCTAGCTACTCTTTAGCTATTGGTAATTAAAGAACTCTTTCATACTGAGGAAATCACTGTTTAGTTCTGCTAATTGTTTTTTAAGTGCTTACCATGGACATCTGACATCCTTGATTGACATAAGCCCATATAAATTCAGAAATCTAGAAGGACAAAAGGAATGGGTCCACGTGGTATGTACTTCATCCTGACACTACCAACTACTTGTAAATTTAATGAAGCCTTATTTATGATATACTGAATATAGGATACTGTTCCCTTGCATAGGCTCCTGTTCCAGACACGTACAGAGGACTTTACAGAGAAGACCATGAAGATCCAGTAACAGCCTACGCTAATGAAGTGAAAAATATTATTGAGCAAGCACATCAGAGAGGCAGAAAGGTAAAAAGTGATTTCCTTACCCATTTGTCTTGCCTGAGCAATGAGCATGGCTGACTAGCAATGCCACTCAGCATGACTGAGCTAAGTGCAGTGGACTTGCCAAAAAGCAAAGATCACATCATCACGCAAGAACCATCTAATGACATAGAGCTTGTTAATTGTTAACATGGTTTCCACAACTTTCTGTATTGGGTTCAAAACATTACATGCTACACGTGTTTCAGATTGCTGCATTTTTTGCTGAATCTCTGCCAAGTGTGGGTGGTCAAATCATTCCCCCAGCAGGCTATTTCCAGAAGGTTGCAGAGTAAGTGGTCTTTCATTATCTTAACTTTTTGCATTTAACATATTTACTAAATACAGACGATAAAGAATGTCTCTGCTTGCTGTAGCATATAGCTTGATAGGCAGGAAATGGCTTGTGCCTTCATGTTAGAATGTAAACTTTGTATGGCAAAGACCTATTTTTAAACATGTGATATGGAATATAGGCCTATATGAGTTTGTTTCCTGGAATTTTGCTAAGTAATGCTTTCTGCATGTTCTTAAACAGTAAACATTATGTTCTCTTTCCTCCTAAGAGACAATAAAATCTGTTATGTTACAGGCATGTGCGCAAGGCAGGAGGTGTATTTATTGCTGATGAAATTCAAGTTGGCTTTGGCAGGGTTGGCAAGCACTTTTGGGCATTCCAGCTGCAGGGAGGAGATTTTGTACCTGACATTGTCACTATGGGGAAACCAATAGGAAATGGGCACCCTCTTGCCTGTGTAGCAACCACAAAAGAAATTGCAGAAGCATTTGCAGCCACAGGAGTGGAATATTTTAACACAGTAAGTAAAAAGCTGCCCAAGTTCTCCTTCTCTACAGGACTTTAAGTGTTATTAAAACTAGATAATCATGCACTGGTTTTTATTAATCTTTTATCACCCATACAGTTACTGTTTATATTATTTGTGTTTTTCTAGTATGTGACTTTCTTTTTACTGGCTCCACCCAAAAGAAATGGCAGTATGCTCATTATGTCATTAAGGCTACGTGTTCATTGACAAGAGTGCCTCTTTCTTCCCTTTCCATGGCTATGCATGCTCCTTTCCTGAACTCAGTTTGGAGGAAACCCTGTTTCGTGTGCAATTGGATTGGCTGTGTTAGATGTGATTGAGAAGGAACACCTTCAGGCTCACGCCACAGAAGTAGGAAATTTCTTGATGAAGCTACTCAAGGAGCAGAAAATCAAGCACCCCATCATTGGGGATGTCAGGTATCAGTGCCTTATTTATTTACAATGTCAGCTGCGTTCTGTTTGGTTCAGTCAGTCATGAACAAGTCAGTCCAACTGATGTGGTTTTAAGTTCCTCAAATCTGTGTTTTCAGCAAAAATCAACAGCCTGCTGTACACTGGCTTATAACAAACTTGAGCTTATCAAAAGTCTGATATACTTTGCCATCCTAGGCCAGTACTGCTTTACTGATTTATTAGTTGCTAAAATTCTTTTCTGTTTGAACTCTTAATTAATTCTCTTCTTTGTGCACTTGAAGTAACTGGATGGAAAGTATGTTTAACATCATGTCCTGTGCTGTAGATTAAAGTCTGGACTCTTCTACCACATTTCTTCACAACAGCAATACTTTTTCTATTACTACCTAACAAATATCAGCAATTCTTATACAGTGAAGAGCTGGTCTCACAAAAAAACCTCTTTCAGATACTTAGTTCACTTGCAGTTCCTTCTTCAGACACAGACTGACTGGTTTTATTTCTTTTAAAGGGGTTCTGGCTTATTCATTGGAGTGGACTTAATCAAGGATCAAGCAGAAAGGACCCCGGCCACAGCAGAAGCAGAACATCTAATAACCTTCAGACACAGACTGATTGGTTTTATTTCTTTTAAAGGGGTTCTGGCTTATTCATTGGAGTGGACTTAATCAAGGATCAAGCAGAAAGGACCCCGGCCACAGCAGAAGCAGAACATCTAATAACAAGGTCCATTAATGGCGTAGGTTCTCCATGTGTGAGGCAAGCACACAATTACAAAGTAACCCTGCCACTCAATAGTTGTTAAAATATAGCCAACTGGCAAAAAAAGAAACCAGTCAGGGCAGAAAGGCATTGTCTGGGCAGCCTCTGTGCTGATGCTGGGGGTTTTTCTGAACTACACGCAAAGGTAAACTGAAGTCTTTGTTATTGCTCTTTACAGGCTTAAGGAAGAATATATTCTGCTGAGCACAGATGGGCCAGGAAGAAATGTCCTGAAATTCAAGCCCCCAATGTGCTTCAACAAGGAGGATGCAAAATTTGTTGTGGACACAATTGACAAACTCCTAACAGGTAACACAGATAAAAGTAGGCTTATAGGGGGTGGCTGTTGGACTGCCTTAAGGTCACCCCTGAGCCTGATGGAGCCAAGACAGTAGATGCTGAGCACACAGGAAAATTGCTCCTAGTCACTGCAAGTTTAGCCTCCCCTCCTAAATTATTCTGTTCTTGAGTTCTCTACAAAACTATTTACTCCACAGATGCATATGCCTTTTAAAACAGTTTCACTTTAACAGAGGTTGAAGTGTTTACTTATCTGAGCAAGGGGGACTGGTAAAGCTGTCCAAATTTCATTCTTGACAGCCATAATCTGTGTGCATTTGCCACTTTAGCTTTTTATACAACTTCTGCACACTCAGTATTAACCGAGTTAGTCCAAAAACTTGTCTCAAAGTCATGAGTTTGCAAAATTGTTACTTTTTCTCTCTCCAGATATGGAAAAAGAATGTCTGAGCCAAGAGAAAACATCCACTTCTTCTACCTGAGCAGGTATTTATTTATATTTCACCCTTTACTATTTAAAGCCAGGGTTCTTAAACGTAACTTCACAAGCACTGTCACCAGCAATAGAGCAGAACCAAGTCTCCTCAGAGATGATTTTACTTGAAAGTAGGAATTTCTGGCTAGACTGAAGCACAGACCAGACTTGTGTACATCTGGCATTCCCAGCTACCTCCTATCAGAGTCTGACACTTCCACTATCACTCCACATATTCATTTGTTTGCAAGCTAAGTCCAGCATGTCCCAGAAATGCCTACCAGTAGAGCAGACTCTGCTCCTCTGGGAAGCTCTAAGAGGAAGGGTTTAACCCTTGGCATGCAGATGACAGGAGCAACAAGACAAAAACATAGTTTTTATGTTAGTGGCTCAGTGCCTTAAGTCTCCACACAGAAGTCATTGCAGCTACACAGCTCTCTTAGCAACTCTCCCCAGAACTGCCCTTAAGGGCAGGAGCACTGCACATTCTGCTTGTCACAACTTGGGAACCTCCACTTATGCTAACAGCTTTATGAAAAGCTATAACCAGTAGTTTTACTATTATAGCTCCTGTTTTACTTAACAGAAGGCAATACTATTTTAAAATCAAATGTTCTCTTGAGCATTTTTGACTACTTCATAGGATCATTTCAGGTTCATGGCTGTTACCCTCAAGCTTAAGCATCAATTTACCCCCATACTCAGAAGTGTGTAGGCGTTATTAAGACTAAGTCTGTTAAATCTTCCAGGCCTTGTGAACCTTGCTGTCTACCAAAATGCCTCTATAGCTTGCTTACCAAGAACATCCAGAACACCTAGCTGCCAGATGCTCATTTTACCAGATGTTCATGAGCACAGTGTACACTTACAGTTAGTTAACACCTTGATAACAACACCCTCTGGTTTACAGTCAGTACTTCTTCAGCCTACTCTAACTAAAAGACAACCAAGTGGTTTTTAACCAAGTGCCCAGAAACACTCTAAGTACCTGGATAGGAATGTACCTAATGTAATCATTGCAATTAATGTAATCATTGGCAGCCTCAACCACCATCCTAGGTTCACACACAGCTCTATGGCCCTCAGCTAAGGAGAAACATGCTTTTAGTTCAGTGCAATATTAGTATAGCAGGCACGAGAAAAATGTGTTAATATTTTATTTAGCAAGTTAATGGAAAGACATACAGCTGTTTGTACTACTTATTCTTGAGAACAGAAAAACTACTCAACAGTGCCAGTTGAACTTAGAGGCCTACTGACTCAATGTGCTTGTCCACAATCTAAACTAAGCAAGAAAAATGCCTTTATTTTCTACAGGAAACCAAGAATGCAAAAAGCCTCTTAAGTACAGTATTAGTAGGACACTTACATATAATGTAAGCGAAAATGAGGCAATGAATTAATTCCTTTTAATGATGCTTTTACAAAAAAACATAACATTATTTTCTTTCCATAGGTTTCAAACAATGTTCAAGATCTACTACTAAGAAACATTATTCTACTATAATAATGCACATTTAATCTTCATCCTAGCATGTCTTAGACCAGATAAATTACCTTAGATTTTGTTATTTTCAATTATCTTGTTATTAGTAAAAACTTTAGGAGAAATAAATGTTACAAGAGCATGTTTCAACTCTGGCAGAAGTGTGGAATTGGCTTTTATTGAAAACAGCTTATCTAAACTCGATTATAAAGGAATTGATTTCTAGTAGCTACCATAAACTACATTTTCTAAATTCGTGCTTTTTCAGGTTATGACATTTTAAAACTTTAGATGAGCCAACGGGGTTTTGGTTTTTTGTTTTTAGTATCTGCTGCTACCTATGCAAATGCCATTCTAGCTGCCAGTACACCCAGTCCTTCCCAGGCTCCTCTGACCAGTTTCAGTAAGCCAGCTTCTTAACAAGGTCCTTAAGTAGCCCTACGGTCAACAAATGGTCTCAGCAACCAGATAAAGTCAAAAACTTCACTCCAAAATTCGTAACAAAGGCATGAGGAACAGACAGCTGAGGGCCACAGCTCCCAAACCAGTTCTTACAAAATACTCTGTCCTCAAGAAATATCCAAGTAGGATTAGCAAATTGAGAGTACATTACAGCCATAAGCAACAGCCTCCTGTACAAGCCCTTGCTTTCACCAGGCAATTAAAAGCTCTTTGTATCACAGACTCTTCATGCAAAGGAGAAAGGGAAAGCCAGCTCTGCATTTAAGTACCAGTATCCTCAATTTCTGCTTAAGGCCACATCACTTGTCAAGGAAGCAAACCTACTTCCAAACAACACCACCATAACAGCCAGCTAACAAACACCACACCAGCCACAAGCACTGCAGCAGTACAGTCCTGATACTCTGCAAATTCCCTGTTGGAAGGCAAACTGTTAGAAAAATATTCTGCTACCCCTTATTTCATAAGAAAACAAGTAATAGTATGCAATAAAGCATTTCAGTTTTAAATCTTGAGACAGTAATACTTTTAAATACTGTACTCGTTTCAGTGGTCTGCAGTATTTTTTTTTATTCCCAAGTAAGTTGGGCATCAGGTTGCATATTCCAGCTGTAAAGACTGGAGATTCAAAACAGATCAGAGTTAAAATCTGATTCATCTTTTTATACTTAGGATTTCCACTTAACCCAAAAAAAGCCTTCCAGGCTTTAAACTTTACAGCAAGTTTTTCTTTCCAACAGCAGCCAGCAGGGAGCAGCATATTATTGTCCCTGCAGGGATAGCTGCACCCCTTGTTAAAAAAACTGAAAAGGTCACTACTAACATCTGTTTACATCTTGCCTTAGCTACTTCGTTTGATTCCACTTCTGGTTCCCATACAAATAGAATTTATTGGAAGAAAAAAAAATGTCAGGGTTTAGCTTAAGAGGGAAAGTGAAAATCAAAAATTGTTATTGCAACAAAGATTAGAAGTTTACTTTTGTGCAGCAGCATTTGGTACTTATAAATCTGAAAATGGGACTATTCTGCAGCAAGACAGGCAAATCACATGGCAGGTATTGCCTTAAAATAGTAGTAAACCAGTCAAAAAAGGAGAGCATATTTCTAGCTGGTCATCTCTAGAGAAAGAGCTGACTCTTTAGAGGCAGCTTTTTTGTTTTTTCTCCCACAACATTAGTGGAATTTCTTTAGCCTTTTTCTTTTAATACACAAAAAGGCTGCAAGAATTCAGACTTTGTGTTAGTAATTTAATGTCTGTCTAACCTGTCTTCCAAGAACTCTTAGAAAAGTCTCAGATTCAAAAACAGTGAAACATGCAGGCAGTGCAGCCAGCTTCTCTTGGCTTCCTCCTGCCATGCTGTCTAGACTCCCAAGCCCTACCTGAAACCTCTGCCTCTGGCCTCTCCTAGCAGAGCCCTAAAATGCAGACACCAACATCATTATTATGCTGAGCCTCTGTGCTTGTCTACAACACGAGCCACCAGCACAGCCTCCACACCGGCCGGGGCTTTCTGCCCGAGTTCTCCTTCATAACCTCCAGGCAGAAGCGACTGCAGTTCTCAGCTGCCGCTGAACTGCAAGTGAGCACAACTACCAATACAGCCTTCTAGGTTTAAGATCAAAAACATTTAAGCACAACTCTTCATCTATCAAGGTACTGCCATGAACTAAGTTCTGGGAACAGTATACTGGCGTTTTACTAATACATAAGCTGAAGAATGGCACAAGACACTAGATTACGCCTTTTTTATTTCAAAAGCTAGGATAGCTTCAATATCCATGTCATGGTGAATCAGAACACATGTAAAATACCTTACAATACATTAGATTCCAAAAAGGTACCAAAAAGTACAGTAAAATTAACACTTCCGTTACAGGAAATGTATGACACAAAAACAATACAAAATAAAAAGGTGGAAAGTGACACTGGTTCCCTAAGATGCATCTCATTCTGTACAACTGGAGTAATGCAGAGTCCATAGTTAACTCCAAGAGGCAGTCCCTAGATGCAGAGCTGCAGCTTTAAGCAGACCCTCAAAATCAGTTTCAGTTTAACCTATTAATAAAATCATTAATTAATATCTTCAGCAAGGCTGAAATTTACACACCACACTGTCTAGACAACTAGTTATCTGTAAGTATTAAACATGTAAAACATTTCCAGGGAGCTCTTCCAAGTAAGATGCACATTTAACAGGCCATAGAAATTTATTGTAAAGTTAAATTTGGTACAGAACTGAAATATCCATCTACAGCATTGTATACAAAACCTATGCAGTCATTTTCCAAAAGAGACCATGCCACTGCATACCTGAATAAGTTTGATCAATATGGCTTGTAGTTATTCTGATGACCACCACGTCTTGGTGTCTTCCCATAATTTGCACTGCCTTGACCTATGAACAAGAAAACAAATGCATTAAACTGCTAATTAGTTACGTTTGCTTATACCCAATACAGTTCTCTTTACTTACTGTAATCATAGCCTGGTCCATATCCATAATACCCATATCCTGAATAATCATAGCCTCCATAGCCACCATAACCTTGCTGATAGCCGTATCCTTGATTCCCATAACCCTGGTTCCAGTAATTGCCATAACCTTGATTCCAATTTTGACTTTGAGCTATAGAAGGGAAAACCATCCACAAAATCCCATTTTAGTACACACAACTTACTTAGAATGTGTCCATACTAAAGTAGTGCATGTAGTACTTACCGCCGCCTCTTCCACCTCTGCCTCTTCCTCCATAGCTACCTCTTCCTCCACCACTACTGAACTGTTGCTGCTGGTATACTTCTTTTGGCTGTGCTACCTTAATCTCGCACTGGAAATAAAAGAACAAGGAAGAGTGTGTATAGATAGTGTTTTATAGCAGCAGCACCCACCCTAACCACCTAGGAAAGCCAGAGGTTACTCTGGAGGCAAAGGAGGTAATACGTGCTGTGCTCCATCATTGACCAGAATTAATGTGTGTCCAGAAACATCTGATTTATGGTGCCACCTGGGCAAAGGTAAGTCACTGCTGGCCACTGAAAGCAGGCTTTCTTACTCTCTGCTTTCAGAGTATTTTAATAGTGCCTATTCTCTGCTATCAACTCCCCCCATAGAAGAGATGCTGAGGGCACCTCAGCGTGGCCACCGCTCCTGTAGGAGCCCACAAGGCTGCCCTCTGTCCCGGCACAACCTCTGTGACAAGGCTGTGGCTGTTGGACCACTTCATCTGAGCTGCACTGAACAAACAAGGCTTTGAGAAACACACCAGAACAAGTTTTCCTGGTAGCCTTTGTACACCCTATACACTGAGCATCTGTGTTGGACTGTGAAGTACACTTACCAACACTTGAAATCATTATTTCTTAAATACTAAGAACAGCTAAAAACAACCAGAACTGACATTTCCAAGACAGGTTCCCAAGTAGCAGTTCCAAGCTGTCAGCCAGCTTCCTAGTTCCTGAACCTGGGCAGTCTGAGATGAAAGCTGCTGTGAAAGGAACAACTCCCTGTGACAGCAGCACCTGAGCAAGCCTGGCCTGGAATTCTTCACACAGGAGCTTTAAGGTAACCTGCTCTTTTTATTATTGCTATGACACAAAACCGAGCCATAGTTACGATACACAGATACTATTTCTCAGCTCCCTTTGCACATAAACATTTATCTCTCTTAAAACCAATCTTTATCACTAACTACAGTGTCTCAACAACTACCAGCACATTGGTTTGCCAAAGCTTATTCTGTGTTGTCAAGACCAGTCCTAAATTAAGTGCAATCTAAATCACTGTGCCAAACAGTATAACCAGATCTAATAGGACTTTGAAGTTTGCATATGGTCAACACTGGCCATGGAGCAAGGGACAAGGGACACCTCCAGCCAGCACACATCATTTGCCTCCAGTCCTCATTAGCTGAACACATGAGTCTCTATTAGCTGTTCACATAGATGAAGTGTCAGCTGTTAAAGCACCTCACACTGCTTTCACAGTAGTTCACAGGACCAGCTGACCAGGTACCAGTTGCCATAAGCACACATTTACTCTCTGGATCCTTGTACTGGGTTTACAAGACAAGGTTTTAGCAGCAGGGAGGGCTGCAGAGGGGGGTGCTTCTGAGAAAAGCCACCAGAAGCTGCCCCCATGTTAGACAGAGCCACCTTCAGCCAGCTGCTTAGGAAGTTAGTGGCTATAAGTCTTGAATTTATCCAAGTGCTCTATGCTGAAAATAGGTATTTATCTGTTGAAATGGCTTATATTGCTTGACTGATACATAAATAAGCCACTTTTTCTACATGTATTTAATGAATGCAATTAGGTATTTCGCATACAACAGCCCCTAGAAAAGAGCAAGTATTAAAGCCACGAATAGAACCTCAGTTGCCCCTGCAACTGAACTTATGAAAAAAAAAATAAACAATCCATAACCCTGTGGTAACTTGCAAGTTATCCTTATTGTAATTTGGGTACCTTGAAATCACAGGTCTACAAAATAGTTTTCAGATTGTAGGTGTAGTGGTTATACTTAATAATCTTCGACAAAAATTTACAAGTCAAAGTTTCTACCTTGCTTCCGCTGACGTTATGGAATTTCTTCTCCAGAACCTTCTTCACTGGATCCTCTTCCTTGAAGGTGATGAACACAAACCCCCTCCTTTTGTTGGTCTTTGGATCCATTGGAAGTTCAATTGCTTCAATCTGAAAACATGAAATACCATTTTAGACTTGTGTTTTAGTAGAACATTTACATGTACAGCATTTGGGAGAGTAAAACAGTTTCCCCTCACGCATATTATGCGGCATCGAAGTTGCAATATTCTTTCTATACTAACATTGGCTTTCAGACCAGAGATTTTATTTTACAACTCCTAAAAACAATTTTAACATCAGATAAAATGGTTTGAGTTAAAGGCAAGGGTATCTAAGTAGCAATGGAAGCAGCTAGTGCAATGTGTGCCTTCCTTGCTCTCAAGATGGGAAACCTCTGGATCAGCTACAGAAGGCTTGATACATCTGAAGTTAATTTAATTTGCAACTTACAAGTTATTAAACTAACCAGCAACTGTTTTAGCCTTTACTGAGATAACACTACACACCTCTCCAAACTCTCCGAAGTATTCCCTGATTTTCTCTTCTGTGGCTTCTGGATTTAGTCCACCAACAAATATTTTCTTCACTGGATCCTTTTTCATTGCCATGGCCTTCTTGGGGTCAATTAGTCGTCCATCTAGCCTGTGTTCTTTCTGTTCCAGAACCTGAAAGATAGTTTGATAGTTGACAGGATTAAGTCAAGCTGAAAAGTTTCCCCTAGAAGTCAAGAATCTGAAATGTGGAGTTTAAATTCACCTTTTCAACACTCCCAGGCTCTTTGAAGAGAATAAATCCAAAGCCTCTGGATCTTCCTGTGTTAGGGTCCATCTTTATCGTACAGTCGGTTACCTCACCAAATTTGGTGAAGTAATCTTTCAAGTCTTTTTTGCTTGTATCCCAACTGAGGCCGCCAACAAACATCTTCCTGAAATTCCAAAGAGATAAAGAGCTATTTAGATACAGGAAGTACTACAGAAAAACACAGGCAGCAAGATGCTCATAGTGGTACACATCTCAGCAGCATTGTCAGAAATGGGACCAGCTGTTCAAAGATAAAACACTTTTGCATCTTGTCAGAAGCTAGTGATACTATGGGAGTGCACAAGGGTGGGTTTCTCCCCCCTCTTTTTGAGGGAATTACACAATGCACCCTGAAGTATTACAGGCTACAAGAAAATGGCCTCAAATACTCCCTGCCAGTAACATATGTTCCTTTAACAGTATCTAAAATATTCCTTACCAGTAATTTACGTTCTTTTAACAATATTCTGTTATTTGCAATAAAGCAGTATTGATTATAAAGTACTGCCAGCTCAGTTTTTGGAAAGAACATAGGATCATTCCTACTGCTTTGAAAGCATTCAAGACAGAATAAGGCATCAAAAGCAAAGTACTTGAGGTCTTTTAGGATTTGGATAAACAGCTGTAAGAATTTTAGTCTCAAAAAGGATCTACAGAATTTAAACCAGGTATCTATAACCTCCAAGAACAGTCACATACAACAGATGGGACTTTGGACCTCCCTCAACTACTATGTTGTGCATTTCTTCCTGTTTAGTTACTGAATCTAGTTCTATCTTCATCAGTACTGCAGGAGTTATCTCCACTTAGTCTTCTTTCATGAAAGGCCAATATAGTATTTCCTGCCCATTTTCCCACACAAAATACCCTCTGAAGTATTTCAAAGAACTAAATCCTCCTGAAGCAAAATCCAGAAGTGAAGCTAACAAGCAAAACTGAGATCAGTCAATAAGGTACATTTTAAATGCCTCTCTTCGAATTAAAACATTAATAACATGGCTGTATTTTCTATTTTCAGAGTTTCCAAGGTAACAAACTAAGCTTTTAAAAGCATTCGAGCCTTTTTATCTAACTATAGACTAAAGCAGTTAAATTTGTCATTTGGCACTAGAAGCCAGCAGCACTTTAGAAACTAGACTATGTTTAAATGCAATTGGCTTTTGGTGTTGATGTGTAACTTTGATTTGCTAAAACTAGCATCCATTTATCCTCAAAAGGCTACATGAGGAAAAAGAAACTGTAGGTGCTATGTTTTTTTTTTTTTTCTTTAAACTGGATAAACCGTATCTTTTGTAGGCTAAACCCTTATTTTTTCAGATCAAGCTGTGTATTCTTAACTAACAAGGATCAAAGTAAAGTCTGTGTGCTTCCTGCAGCCATTGCAGTAGAGCCTTACAGAAAAGGCCTCACAAAGTTGTACTAAGCCCTTCAACAACAGATGAAAGGAAGGTAACTTGATGGATTCCTTCTCAACAGCTTGCCTGACCAAACAGGACTGCTGCAATCTGTACAGCCTGACAGTGGTTTTCCACAGCATCCCCCCATCATCATTGACTTACAGAATGATATAAAGAAATTCAATGTTTGGGGGTTGAAGGAATTTACCTGCATGCAGCTTTAGCTGCTCTATGCCATCAGGTTGGGGCTGTGGTGCACACACAGATATTGCCACATGCTAAATTCACCTCTTACCACAGCAGCAGATACTACGCTTTGTAATTTATAGTCCTTTGTTTTGTAACTGGAATGGTTGATACCTACAGATATCTCAGTAACACAACAGAGAGCCTTTGAAATTAAGGCCAAATTCCTCGTATTTGGCTTTGCCTTCAGAGACCACACAAGCTGGGCAACTGCACTCTTAACACGTAGTCTCTTCTTTTCCTCCTGAGTGTATTAGTGCAGCTAAATCAAAGCATGTTTCAGCTTTTAACAGAATACTCTTAACGTCAGCATCCTGAACTTTGCTTTGGACAGTTCTTGTTTTATCACAGAACTTAGTTTTCCACATAGGTCAATCCCTCTAAATAACTGTTTTTCTTCGAAGTTTCATTTCACACGAATTTAGGATTGAAACTTGTCACCTCCTATGCAAGAAAGGGAAAGAGTATCACCGACCTTTCAGGCAAAATAATAAAAAAAATAAAAAGAATATTTGTACACAACTAAAAGGCCTGGTTCTTAATCCTTCTAGCGTCTGCAAAAGGTACATCCGGCCATACCTTATAGGAAACTTGTTTAAATTTTATTCCTTCCGCCAAATTTTATTACACTACAGTACACTTTTCAGCTCTCTGTTCAACCTCAGGGATCTGACCCTCTGGTCCAGGGCTAACAAAGGGAGTATCAATTAAATACTCGGAGTAGCTTGAATAACAAAGACCTGCTTGAGAAACAGGCAGGTCGTTTTTAAGTCAAGCACTTGTATTTATCAACAGACCAACTACGATAGGAAAGAAATGACTCTTGTACACAAGGATGCCACTATCAAAACACAGCGAAACTACACTGACTCCTCCAGAAATCCCTCGGAAGAGATAAGCTGTTTTTCGGACAATGCTGCGAGGAAGTACACCAAAACCGTTCTTGCTGCTTTAAACACACCGCACATCATCTCAAGCACGCCGTTTTTCCTTTTACCCCCTCTAAAAACACTTAGCTTGCCCCGACTAGCTTCTAAAGCTAGGATTATTTTATTTTTTTTCTTTCTACTGCGTTACACAGAACGTGTTCGCATTTACACTGCCGCCGGCAGCGATGGCTCACACGATCCCCACAAAGTTTGAACCAGCCGGGCCCCCCCCACGACCCCGGGCCAGAAAAACAACTCCTTCCACCCGCTCCTTTCCTTGGAAAGGATGAGGAAAAAGGCGGGAGGCGAAGCCAGCGGAGGTAAATCCCCTTCCATTTTACAGCGTGAGACGGCAACAAACCCGCTGCCCGCCCCTCCCCCCGCCACCACATGGCGCCAACAAAAGGCAGCTCCAGAACAAAGGACGCGCTGCCGCTGCG